CATTAGTCGGCCTGCTGTCAACAGTCTCGAAGTTATCCAGAGGAAAGCTGCTCGTATCATCCTTGGGGCTCCTCAGTGGACACGCTCTACTTCTCTATATACCGAACTTGGTCTTTCCCCCTTACAGGATCGTGTCCAGGAGTTTTACCTAAAAACTACCGTTTCCATTCTACGGGATCCTCGGGGCAACTATGTCCAAGCCAACTTGACTTCTGCTGTCTGAGGCCGACCTCCATCTAGAAGACAGTGGCGATGTCATGGTCACGTTGACTGCTGATCTACTTAACTAATGATTCTTATTAAACACCACGCCCCCAAAACATGAGTGAGTTAGCGACCCCTGAGAAGATGTGTTTTTTCCCCATAGACGCTACACTTGTGTTCCCTCCCAGAGTCCCGCCTTTGTGAAGACAGTTATCAATGCGTGGTTTATTCCACTTTCTCCTGGGAAGCTCAATCTTGAATTAGTCTGTGTAAATCAACTCAAGTAATTCGCCAGACCTTTGTCAACTGAGGGTCATCTTTCAATGAGTAACAGTTAGTTTGTTTGAAATTATTGTCATTGATTGAGTAGCGCTCACTGGCAACTCAGAAGTATTTATACCCGTGCGCCTGCGCAGGGAAAGCCTTCCCTGACGCTGCTACACTGTTTCTCCAGGTATGTTTATGTGTAGCCATTCAGTTAATTCAGTCAATTGTAGTGAATATCAGTGTTCACCAGTGTTCATGATTTAACAGTTGAATTGTCATTCACCCAGTGTAGAAGTAATATAACGTAAATACGTCTGTCGTCTAGACAAGAGAGTTGTTTGTGTTTCCATGCTTCCCAGTCCGTTCCCTGACGCTGCTACACTGTTTCTCCAGATCCCATTGTGATTCTTGCATCGCTCAACCACTCAACAACGGCCCCGGATGTAGTAGATACCCAGCAGGGATCATATATGAAACGATGGCACCGATGCGGCCTGATTAATGTGCCCCACGGCTTCGTTGGGCCAGACCCCAGACTCGCCATGTGTCTGGCTACCCCACAATAACAATGGTCGTGAGCCCCAGTGCTCTACCCTGGGTTACTCCGTAGAAGTATATGTCCACAGAGAGTGTTGTAACATGTATGTTAGGGATAATTAGTTGGAAATAATTATCCCATGTTGGGTAGTGGACCCCTGTATATGCTAGTGTCAGTATTAACGTATATGTTGAGTAAAATAATCTACAATGAGTGCCATGTAATGTAACACCAATAATGTTGTGAGTAAGAGTAAAGAAGAAGGAAGTGAGTCTGCAATAAGCCCAGGAGTTGAGCCTGGTAGTTATATGATTAATACTATATCTTTTCCCCTTTGATTTCATATTAATAAACTTGTTTTTAGAGTACTTTAGGTGTATTCCTTTCTCCCACAGTATTTTACCTTTATTTCCATCTAAGTGACTTGATACCAGAATTACCATACCCATGTGCCTAGACCCTCGACCATGCTACCAAAAGAATAGGTGACGGAACTGAGTAAGAGTAAGACTAAGAGAAGTAAGTAAGATGAGGGTGGTGTACTGTAGATACAGGGGGAACACGCGCCCTCACAGCGAGGGTCACTCATCCGAGCCCTTCAAGAACACGACCTCCTGCCTGATATTGTTGTCACCCCTGCTGTTGGTTCGTCTCCTTCTCCCTGGCTGGATTTCCAACCTGAAGTGATTGCCCTCGGTGGACTGCTCCCGAAATCCCACGTGAACCCTGTTACTCTCTGCAAATACCACCTCTCCAGGATCGCCCACTGGTCCCCAGGTAGGTCGTCCTCTACACTGATGGTTCTGTTGACCCCGCTACAGGTAGGGCCGGGGCTGGTGTCTACATCTCCCGTCCTGATGCCCCTGAGCCTATCAAACTGTCTCTCAGAGTTTCTGACGGGGCATCCTCCACTCAGGCTGAACTAATAGTCCTCCTTGCTGCCCTTCTCGCTGAGGAAGAAGCAGACGGCTTCTGTCCCTTGCTTGTCTGCTGCGATTCCAGGTCTGCTCTTGACGGGATCGCATTTGGATCAGGGGAAAATAAGGACCTCATCCTCTGAATACGAGGGTTAACATCCACACTTTAGGATGAAGGCCGTCCTGTGACATTCCTATGGGTACCCAGTCATGTCGGTATCTTGGGGAATGAGGCAGCAGATGGCCTTGCCAAGTTGCAACAAGGCCACACCTGACTACGTTGTTCCTCGAACACTTTTACAGCTTAGAACCCAAATTCGCCGCAAACAGAGAGAAGCTCGGGAAGCAGCCATCCCCCTGGACTCCCCGCCCACCTGGTACGATGTCCTCCGTAATCTTCCTGACCTCTCGTATGTCTACGGGAAAGGGTCGCAGAAAAGGGACGTGATTGCTGCCCGTATTATCATAGGTTTATGACTTTGCTTGGGAGATTGGTATCCCCGCATCCCCTGAGCAACGCTCTTGTGCATTATGCAGAAGACCCGACAGCCGCACCCTTATCCACTACCTCCTAAGATGTCCCCACACACAACGCTTCCGTGACGCCTGCTGGACCACGACCCCCTGACGATGATCCTCCCCATACTGGCCAGATATTATGTAAATAACATTGATTATGTGTTAAAGGAATATCCTTCCTTCCTTAGGCTTTAGTAAGCCCCTTTATAATATTTATACTGTATATACTTGTGACACTTGCCAGATGATTCTGGTGTCATTGTACAGGGGTACCTAGTGACAGCACTAGGACCCCGCTTCCTCTATCAAGGAATAAACAATTGAAATTGAATTGAATACATTACATAAGAGAAATTCATATTTTTAATGTCCAATTGGACGTTTACCCATTGCATTCTTGGAACGCTGGTTGGACGTGCATGTCACTCACCTACACCTCCCTGGCAGGACACGTACGGTCATGGCTGGCGGAAGAGCTTCAACGAGCAGGTCGTTTATTACAATGACTGCCAGAACAACCCTCAGTCTAGGACCAAAGCTGATACCTTTCTCAGGAAGAAAGAGGTGGCCCAGCGTCAACTTCCAAAACTAATCATGTAAAATGCAGATCAGCACAAGATGAGACAATTTTTCAATTCCACTAAAGCATTTTATGGGCCAATCACTCATGACACAGTCCCCCTTCGCTCATCCAACGGCAACTCCCTAATTAAAGACGAAGAAGGCGTCCGTCAACGCTGAAAAGAGCACTACCATTCGCTGCTCAACCGAAACACCAATGTAGATATCCTGACTACCCAGCAGATGACTCAGCATCCAGAGCTCACCCATCTGAGCTATCCTCCATCTCTGTCTATATACATTGTTTATATAGCTTTAGTGAGTATATAAACACCGTAAGCACCTCAGACTAATGTTTATCTATCTACATTAGTTACCCTTCACAATGGTCCACCAACCAAAATATTTTATAATAACATTAATTAACATTAATCTTCCTCTTATATATAATAAATATTTAACATATAGTAATATAATAATAAATTTATACATTAGTTAAGAATAAACATTTATTAAGTGGTGGAAAAGGTTCTTATTTAAATATAAACTCATACGTGTTACTTTATAGCGAGTTACAATATCTGCCAGTAGTCATCGACAAATATTATATAGGTACCTGTGGCGCTAGTGACCGCCTATATGAGCTTATGTTAAGGATGATCGGCCGTGAGTCACAAATAAAACATTGCCACAAAACACGAGATTCACATTAATTATCACCACTAAAAACTGTATCTAAAATATGTCGAAAAAATTGGAACACAGACCCAATTTTTAATAAGATGCAAAATATAGATATAAAAACAATTTATATGGACTACAGAGAACACAATGCAAACTAATTTCTTATATAAAAGATGAATTCATATAAAAAGTTGCAGGTATTTCATCCAAGTACCGCCGAAATAATTACCACGGAGACAGGTTGATATATACAGAGAGAGAGAGAGAGAGAGAGAGAGAGAGAGAGAGAGAGAGAGTCCAGGAAGGGAGATAGCTGTACTTCCGTCGATGTAATTTAGCTAAAACGCCCCCCCAACCCTTACCATAACAATAGCCCTTCCTTCCACACCGCCACGCCCACCCCACACCGCCACACCCACCCTCACACCGCCACACCCTCCCCACACCCCACACCCACCCCCACACTCCCCCTGCACAGCCACACCCACCCCACACAGCCACACCCTCCCCCTGCACAGCCACACCCACCCCACACAGCCACCTCCCCACACCACACCCACCCCCACACCGCCACAACCACCCCACACAGCCACACCCTCCCCACACCACAACCACCCCCACCGCCACACCCCCCCACACCGCCACACCCACCCCCACCGCCACACCCTCCCACACCGCCACACCCACCCCACACCACACCCTCCCCCACACCGCCACACCCTCTCTCCACACCTTTATATAAACATTATTCGCTATTTCACTTACGCTGTTTGTATCCTGATCAGCTGTCGAGTTTATTGATAATTATATTACAAATTCTTAAAAACAATTTATCCTTTATATTAATTTGTTCAGATAGATAATCCTCATATAACTATTCATCTCTGACCTAAAACATCCTAAAGTAGTGATCATTGTTTATGTAATTTGGAACACAATTCCATCACAAATATGATCTTGTGGCTAACAATATTTCTTTATTCTTTAAAATATGTATATAGAGCAGCAGCCATCACCAAAGTCGTTTTTTTTTTAGTTTAAGACAACAGTTGGAAATTCTTTTATAATAATCATGAAAAAACAACAACTTTCCTTCTCAAGACTCTGATTGGCACGATAATATTTGCGTCCGGGAAAGATAACGTCAACAACACCGCAGCCACCAATGGACGGAAGAGAGTGGTGTTTTAAAGACAGTCGACGGAAGTCTTCCCTGACTCAAATGTGACGAAAATATACACGATAAAGAGAAAGATCCGAGACATATGACCAGTGGTATAAAAGGTGGGGTGGTAAACATGACACCATCATTGTCTCTGTGTTCACCGACCAAACTCCATCTTGTTGCTCAGGAGTTTAATCCACTTTCTCAATTTTCACCCCAAATTACGGAACATTCTGTGAGCTATTAACATGTTGCTCGTACGTTTTATGGTAAGTATATTGTGTTTATCAAGTGACGGTAATTAATTTGATTTTGAGAACGTATCTAACTGTCTCACTTAAGCTACCACACAAAGATGGATTCTCAAAGGTTCCTACGTTAAGTTTTCCTCCTAACTGGTGATGTGAGAACGTATCTAACTGACTCACTTAAGCTACCACACAAAGATGGATTCTCAAAGGTTCCTACGTTAAGTTTTCCTCCTAACTGGTGATGTGAGAACGTATCTAACTGTCTCACTTAAGCTACCACACAAAGATGGATTCTCAAAGGTTCCTACGTTAAGTTTTCCTCCTAACTGGTGATGTGAGAACGTATCTAACTGACTCACTTAAGCTACCACACAAAGATGGATTCTCAAAGGTTCCTACGTTAAGTTTTCCTCCTAACTGGTGATGTGAGAACGTATCTAACTGACTCACTTAAGCTACCACACAAAGATGGATTCTCAAAGGTTCCTACGTTAAATTATTACTATACATTCCCGCGCCTCCCTCCCTCACAGGTTATGTTGGGCGTGTGGGCGTGTCTGGCCGCCCATCTCGAGGCAGCAGCTCTTCCGAAACCGAAAGCCTATGCCGAACCGAAAGCCGAAGCCAAGGCCGACCCCTCCATCGGGCTTGGGGGGCTGTATGGAGGGCATGGAGGGCTTGGAGGGTTTGGAGGGCTTGGAGGGCTTGGAGGACTTGGAGGGCTTGGAGGATTGTATGGGGGTCTGGGATTACCTCTGCTTAGTGGGTGAGTGTTTGTATGTTGGCACACACACACACACACACACACACACACACACACACACACACACACACACACACACACACACACACACACACACATACACATACACACATGCATTCCTTTGTCTGTAAATCCACCAATGACATAACACCAGGAGTGACGTCACAAAACGCTCCACCAATTACACGCTCCTATTCTCTCCCTCAACAGGATGTACGGATACGGCTCCTATGGAATTGGCTTGGGCGGCTATGGCGGCCTGTATGGGTTGGGTGGCCGTGGGTTGGGTGGCCTTGGACTGGGCGGCTTAGGACTGGGCGGCTTAGGACTGGGCGGCTTAGGACTGGGCGGCTTAGGATTGGGCGGGTTTGGCTTAGGATGGTGAGTCAATAATAATAATAATAATGATAATAATAATAATAATAATAATAATAATAATAATAATAATAATAATCTTACCTATGTTAATTGTGTTTGTTTTTACAGGTAAGCCTTGGCCCTCGTGATGCTCCTGATAAGTTGAAGAACACAGCAGGAACACAACAAGAACACAAGAACACAACATACAAGGGCAGTGTATATTGAACATAACTCAATAATTATGAAAATACAATGCATAGAAATGTATAACTTATGGGATGGTATTACTGAAAACTTATACAAGGCTTTGAAAATATGTATGTATGTATGTATGTATGTATGTATGTATGTATTCGCTCACTAAAAGAGTATTTTTATCTGTTGTTTATATTATCCACAACCTCATTCAATTATTTTTTTAATCATTTAAGTCAGAAATACTATAATAATAATAATAATAATAATAATAATAATAATAATAATAATAATAATAATAATGATAATAATAATAATAATAATAATAATAATAATAATAATAATAATAATAATAACAATAATAACAATAATAATGTGATGACGTTAATATTATGCAAGACATTTATTTATTAATTATTTACGCTTTTATCCCTTATTCTTGTCTGGGGTTCTTCATTTTCTATGGTTATTTTACTTTGGTTGAGTTATCCCTTTAAGGTTTTCTTTGATGAGTGTTCACAAACTGTTCAGAGAAAACGAAGATGGCAGACTAAACCAAGACAAAATAATCATAGAAAATGTAGGACCCAGACACACAAGAGGTAACGAAGTTAATAAATTGTTAAAAAAAAATATATATTGCATAGTATTAGCGGTGTTAAATTATTATACACTTAATTCATTCATACAGTATTACTTAGATAAGAGTGTATGTATACAACTGGTGGTAGTTCCCGTTGACGTAATAGAGGGAACCAGCACAAAACCCCCTCTAAATTTCCTCAATATCACAATAAAAATGTCCATTACATATTTCTCTTATTTCTTCATTTATTTCCACATGTTTAAGTTCAATGGAGTCTGGAAATATTTTCATAATAAACTCGTTATAAAAGAAATGCGGTTTTTTACCCTTTGAAAATATGATAATGTATATAACTTAGACCCCTGGATGCTCGGACACCCCGCTAACAGCAATGGCTAACCAAACACTACAAGAATTTGGTCAGGATCATTCCGACTGGGATCGAACCCGGTTTACTAGTCTACAAGGCGAGTGTACTGGCAACTACTCAAACACCAATTAGGTTCTGTAATACATACATACATACATACATACATACATACGTACATAGATGCATACAGACTTTATTTCCTATTATTATGTAAAAAAAATGTGTATGGGAAGCCTAAAGTCTGACTCTAGTAAAATAACATAAGTATTTTTCTCATTAATAAAATATAAAATGCGGTATTTTAACATTTTCAATAAGAGTGGGTCTTGACTGTTAATAATTCCATCTTAATTACCAAACGAAAAGACCCTCAAATTAACAAGAATCATAAAGCTAACGACCCTAATATTAACAAGACCTTCAAATTAACAAGACCTAAAAATTAACAAGACCTTCAAATTAACAAGACCTAAAATTAACAAGACCTTCAAATTAACAAGACCTTAAAATTAACACGACCTTCAAATTAACAAGACCTAAAATTAACAAGACCTTCAAATTAACAAGACCTAAAATTAACAAGACCTTCAAATTAACAAGACCCAAAATTAACAAGACCTTCAAATTAACAAGACTAAAATTAACAAAACCTTCAAATTAACAAGACCTAAAATTAACAAGACCTTATTTAGACCCTAAAATTAACAAGACCTTCAAATTAACAAGGCCCTAAAATTAACCTTAATATTAACAAGACCTTTAAATTAACAAAACCTTCAAATTAACAAAACCTTCAAATTAACAAGACCTTCAAATTAACAAAACCTTCAAATTAACAAGACCTTCAAATTAACAAAACCTTCAAATTAACAAGACCTTCAAATTAACAAAACCTTCAAATTAACAAGACCTTCATATTGACATGACCCTAAAATTAACAAAAGACAGACAGACAGACACAGGTAGATAGATAGATAGATATATCATTATACAATAAGAAACATATTTTAGAAAGTGATCTCTCTCTCTCTCTCTCTCTCTCTCTAGGCGTCTCCGTGAAGTAACAATACGAGTTGGGGAAATATCGATACTTATCTCCGGTGTGTGAGGTGTGTGTGTGTGTGTGTGTGTGTGTGTGTGTGTGTGTGTGTGTGTGTGTGTGTGTGTGTGTGTGTGTGTGTGTGTGTGTGGTGTGTGTGTGTGTTCAGAGAGAGAAGAGAAACAAACAAACAGATAGATAGTTAGTTAGAGAGTACAACACAATGTAGAGAGAAAGTAGAAAATTAAGAAAAAAAGAGAAAGTGCCACAACTCATTAAGTGGAAGTGTCACCGTCGGCAGTTCTCACAACGACAGTAGCCAGAGTCGAGTTCGGTCAGCTGGTCAGTCTTGGAGGTGACAGTCAAGAGGGCTGACAGGCGCTTCGGGAGAAGTCTTACTAACGAGCTGACAGTCAGAATGGGTTCATCATGGACTGTTATCCTCAACTGGAGTTTGTAAGTGTCACCTGTTAACAGTGTCAACGGTATGAACAGTGCCAACGGTGGGAACAGTGCCAGCGGTAGAGACAGTGCCAACGGTAGGGAACAGTGCCAACGGTAGGGAACAGTGCCAACGGTATGGAACAGTGCTAACGGTATGGAACAGTGTCAGCGGTAGGGAACAGTGTCAACGGTAGGGAACAGTGCCAGCGGTGGGAACAGTGCCAACGGTATGGAACAGTGCTAACGGTAGGGAACAGTGCTAACGGTAGGGAACAGTGCCAACGGTATGGAACAGTGCCAGCGGTAGGGAACAGTGCCAGCGGTAAAGTGCCAGCGGTAGGGAACAGTGCCAGCGGTAGGAACAGTGCCAACGGTATGGAACAGTGCCAGCGGTGAGGAACAGTGCCAGCGGTAGGGAAGTGCCAGCGGTAGGGAACAGTGCCAGCGGTAGGGAACAGTGCCAGCGGTAAGGAACAGCGCCAGCGGTATGAACAGTGCCAGCGGTAGGGAACAGTGCCAGCGGTAGGGAACAGTGCCAGCGGTAGGAAGTGCCAGCGGTAGGGAACAGTGCCAGCGGTAGAACAGTGCCAGCGGTGGGAAGTGCCAGCGGTAGGGAACAGTGCCAGCGGTGAGGAACAGTGCCAGCGGTGAGGAACAGTGCCAGCGGTATGGAACAGTGCTAACGGTAGGAACAGTGCCAACGGTGAGTGGGAAAGTGCCAACGGTGAGAACAGTGCCAGCGGTATGAACAGTGCAGCGGTGAAAGGTGTGGCGGTAGGGAACAGTGCCAGCGGTAGGGAACAGTGCCAGCGGTAGGGGAACAGTGCCGCGGTATGGAACAGTGCTGCGGTGAGAACAGTGCAACGGTATGAACAGTGCCAGCGGTAGGAACCAGTGCCAGCGGTAGGGAAGTGCCAGCGGTAGGAACAGTGCCAGCGGTAGGGAACAGTGCCAGCGGTATGGAACAGTGAGCGGTAGGGAACAGTGCCAGCGGTAGGGGAAGTGCCAGCGGTAGGGAACAGTGCCAGCGGTAGGGAACAGTGCCAGCGGTAAGGAACAGTGCCAGCGGTATGGGAGATGCCAGCGGTAGGGAACAGTGCCAGCGGTAGGGAACAGTGCCAGCGGTGAGAATGCCAGCGGTAGAACAGTGCCAGCGGTAGTGAACATGCCAGCGGTGGGAAACAGTGCCAGCGGTAGGGAAGCGAAGTAGGAACAGTGCCAGCGGTAGAACAGTGAAAGTAGGGAACAGTGCCAACGGTATGGAACAGTGCTAACGGTAGGTAACAGTACCAATGCAGGCGAAGAAAAGGTAGGAACAGTGCCAGCGAGGAAGTGCCATAGAAGTGCTAACGGTATGGAACAGTGCCAACGGTAGGGAACAGTGCCAGCGGTAGGGAACAGTGCCAGCGGTAGGGAAGTGCCAGCGGTAGGGAACAGTGCCAGCGGTAGGGAACAGTGCCAACGGTATGGAACAGTGCTAACGGTAGGGAACAGTGCTAACGGTAGGTAACAGTACCAACGGTATGGAACAGTGCCAGCGGTAGGGAACAGTGTGTTGGTTTTGTTTTATTGTTGAAAATAATAGTTTCACAGGTCCTTAGATCAGTTGAGAGTATATTGTACCTTCTCTCTATACTAAGGGAAGTGTCTCAGTGCACTTATAGGAGAACACTTAAGTGAGGTGTTCACTGGGTAACAAGTGATATGAGTCTCCTCACTCTGACCAAGGGGGAAGCAGGCCTCCAGAGGGTGATAAAAGGAAACGCGTCAGATAGTCCTGTTGCTGACCCCAGCCTGCCCCCGCTCGTGCCCCTAAACAACTGCATAACCTGAGGCACAGTTGAATAACTTAGTGAATAATTTGGTATTATACATGTGGGTAAATATTTATATAATGCAAATGGTGATGTTACAAGAGTGCCAACGGTAAGTAACAGTGCCAACGGTAAATAGCGGTGTTAACGGTAAGTAACAGTGCCATCGGTAAATAGCGGTGTTAACGGTAAGTAACAGTGCCATCGGTAAATAGCAGTGTTAACGGTAAGTAACAGTGCCAACGGTAAATAGCGGTGTTAACGGTAAGTAACAGTGCCAATGGTAAGTAACAGTGCCAACGGTAAATAGCGGTGTTAACGGTAAGTAACAGTGCCAACGGTAAGTAACAGTGCCAACGGTAAATAGCGGTGTTAACGGTAACAGTGCCAACGGTAACAATGCCAACGATAACAGTGAGAATATTATACATCCTCTGCCTCTCTCTCCCTCCCCCACTCTCTCTCCCTGCCCCCCACTCTCCTGCCCCCACTCTCTCTCCCTCCCCCACTCTCTCTCCCTGCCCCCCACTCTCTCTCCTGCCCCACTCTCTCCCTGCCCCCCTCTCTCTCCCGCCCCCACTCCTCTCCTGACCCCACTTTCTCCCTGACCCCCTCCTCCCCTCCCTCACCTCCCAGGGTGAGAGATCGGCACTTCATTAAACACCACAACACACTTTCATACATTAAAAAAGCTGTGAGCTGTTCCCATGAGTGTGTGTGTGTGTGGGTGTTATCTATTCACTATATAAATTGTGC